GGGTTTTGGAATTGTAGATAAGAAATCCTAGTGCTCAATACTCACGTGACTCAGACACTGCCTTGGGCCCCTGCCCCCCTCTGCACACGTGTCCACACAGGGTCGTCCCAGGGACACTGCAGCACTTTGTGTCAGAACGCCGTCAGGAGGTCCATGGGAACAGCCGAAGATGGGAGGGATGGACCGTTTAACAGAGAAGAAAGCTCTCAATGAACCTTCATGCTTGTGCCCAGAGCATCTCAGCTGTACGTGAGCTGATCTGTGCCAGGCGCCCGTGGAGCTGGACAGTGGCTCTGGGGCACCCCCACCCTTCCTGGTTTTCATTTCACTGCATGTCTCAGCAGGGCCATGAGAGGAGGCTCAGGGAGGCAAAGGACGAGACGGGACTTGCTAGCGGGCAGGTGCTGATGGCCCACAGAAGGAACGCACAAAGAACCGGGCGATGCTCCGGGTGGAAACCCAATACACACACCATTTCAGGGACTGATGAAATCATGGAGCAGACAGTCCACTCAGGATTCCGGCAAAGCCAAAGGAGGACCAGTGACCGACCCTCTCTGGAGACGGGCACAAGTACTACTAAGAGGACTATATGCATGCAGAGCCAGGCCGTGTCTTGTGCAGAGGGTGCGGTTTTGTGAAGATGTCAAATGTCACCAAATTAACTTGTAAATTCCATCAGCTCCGATAAGGTTTTATTTATTTGAGAGAGAACACAAGAGCGCACGCACACACACATGCACGCACGAGTGGGGGGCAGAGAGGCAGCAAATCTCTGGGAGACTCCTGCTGAGCTCAGGGCCTGATATGGACCCTGAGATCATGACCTGCGCTGAAATCAAGAGTCGGATGCTTCACTGACGGAGCCACCCAGGCGCCTTTGCAATAAGGTTTTTTAAAAAAGTGACTTGAAGCTGCTCTTAAAATTCAGATGGAAGAGCAGAGGGTCAAGAACAGCCAAGACCACTGTGTAGAAGGACATGGGAGCAGGGCCTTGTCCTAACGACAGAGTGGCATGGCACGCCTGGGCACAACACACCTGGGCGTGAGGAGGCACTTGGGGGTAAGGCTGGGATACCTGGGTGTGCAGCACACGTGGGTGTGAGGCCGGGCACCTGGGTGTGAGGCTGGGCAGAAGCCACACACAGCTCAGGGGACAGGTGGAAACACCAGCCCCTCCACCCAGGAAACATCAGGGCCTTTCACACCACGCCTGAAGATAGATTCCCAAGGAACTAAAGGCTTACGCCAGCAAAGCAAAGCTTTATAGCTTATTTATTTATTATTATTATTTTTAAGATTTTATTTATTCATGAGAGACAGAGACACAGGCAGAGGGAGAAGCAGGCTCCATGCAGGGAGCCCGACGTGGGACCCGATCCCGGGTCTCCAGGATCATGCCCTGGGCTGGAGGCAGCACTAAACCACTGAGCCACCCAGGCTGCCCCGCTTTATAGCTTTTAGACAAATATATGGGAAGATGTATTTAAGAACTTAGGGACAGGAAAGGACTTTTTAGACAAGAAAAACACAAACCAAAAGATGAATGCATTTGAACACATGAAAATTTAAAAATTCTTCATATTAATTGATACCATTAAACAAAATAAAAGGCAAGCCACATAACCAATGCATAATCCAGAAAATTACCAACCAAATAGAAAATGGGCAAAGAACCTGAACAGGGAGTTCACAGAACAAGACCTCAAATGGCTGGGAAATGTATCCAAAATATTCCTCCTCAGAACGAACTAGGGGAGAGCACACAGAGCTCCTGCTTCACACGCAATACTCAGCACTGCAGCAAAGATGACGTCTGTCCGTCCATGCTGCATGGAGGAGAGATGTGGTGTCTCATCTGCTGGAGGCAGTGTCCACGGCACGGCCTTTTCAGGAAGAGAGGCGTGCTGATGACCATGCCGTCCACGAAGGTGACACAGGGGAGTGGGCGGGCCTCTGTGTGGCAACTTGGAGCTCAGGTGGGCACACATGGCAGATCTGGGGCAGCTCTGAACCCACATAGCAGCTCCTGTGATGGGGACGCTGGGACTGCTGTTGTCACTTCTTGAACAGGACAGGAGGCCAGTCCTGCATGAGGCCCAGACCCGCTGAGCTGGATGGACAGAGCATGGGCCCGTCCCGTGGGAGACTCACAATCTGGGGTGGGAGAAGCTGGGGTCCACGTGCAGGCTGGAGCCTCGTGCCACCTGCGGCTGGCTCCCAGCACGTCTCGGAGCTACCCCGGATCCTGCTCTGGCCCTCATTGGCCACCGGAGGCCCAGAGGCAGCCGACACCTCGCAGGGGACTTCAGGGTCCAGACCATGTCTACGTGTATGTGCTCAGGCATGTACATCTGTCCATTCACACACATGCTGCCACAGTGTGTACTTGCGTGTGTGCAGGAGGCAGTCCATCGGCTGCTGCAGCCTGACATCATCTTCTTTCTAAGCAGCGGCTCTTCCCCACTGAGGCAGGTGCCAGCGGGAACATCACGGGGGCACCAGGGATGCGGCTGCTTGTTGTATTGCTGTTTTAGTGGTTCGACAGCGAGCTGGTGGGGGAGAGGGCTGGCAACCTGGAATGAAGCCGACTGATGGCTTAATGGCCTGTAGCCGCTACAGAGTAATTGAATGGCTGTGCGTCTGCGAGAGACTGTTAGTGGACGACGTGCCCTGCAAGCCGATGACGAGAGACACTGCCTGGGTGGGACTGGCTCCCGCTTGGAGGGCCGCAGAGGGCCAGGGCCACCACGTGGAGGGGCGTGCAGTCCTCACACAGGCAGGTCACACCCAGAAGTGGACATGCAAGCCCACAGATACAGTTCCCTGTATGTACACATTCACGGACGACCAGCCCCACACACGCTTGTGCTCAGCCCCTTACATGCACGTGTGCACGTTGCACACACCCGCAGCAAACGCTATGCACCAGCACAAACATAGGGATGGAACCACCTGCCCCAGCTCTACCCCTCCCATGCAGCTTGGGCTCCCAGGCTCCCCACCATCCCGAGCCCTGTTCCTGCACACCCAGGTTCTGGGGCCCCTGAATGGAGGGTCTGGAAGATCCACCTGTTAGGGGTTGAGGGCCATGTAGGGGCTTCCACGCCCATGACCTAGGCCAGGTACAGGGAGGGACCCTCAGGAATGTGATTTCCACCAAATCCTCTGTCCCCAGGTGTGGGTGCCCTTGTCCTTGTCTTCCTGATGAAACAGGCTCTGAGAGGCACACAGGCTGGTGTGCAGGTGCCAGGGTGGGTCCTTAGGTCCTGGCCGCCCACCCCACTGCTTTCCAAACCATGGAAATGTCCCTAATTCAGGAACTGGAGGAGGGAAAGGAAGGCAAGGTTGCTGGGAGGTGTTGGCAAGGATGAAATTGGGGTCTCCTGCCCTGGCTGAGTGATGGCATCTGCAAGGATGAGCCAGCCCTCCACAGCCTGCCCGGAGACCTCTGCCCCACACCCCTCTATTCCCATGCCAGACCCACTTCCATGTATCTCTCACGGTCACGGCGAAGGGTGTGAAGGGGGCCAAGTTCTCAGGATGCTGGCTGTGAGAGGAGAATGCAGAGGCTCCTGGACGGGCTTCTAGAGCACCTCTAGTGGCCCCTTTCTTCCTCTTAGAATGCCAGTGGAGAGGAGACGGGGTTGGGGGCGGACACAGGCTGGTCCTCTCAGGCCAGGGGTAGGAAGTCCAGCCGGGGCCTCATGTGCTAACATCTTGCTGTCAGAGGGCCAGTTCCTCCTGGAATCTCCAGGGGAGAATCTTTTCCCATCTTTCCTGGCTTCTAGAAGCCTCTGTGGCCCCCACCTCTCATCGTCCAGGCCAGCACCAGCCAATCCAGTGTCACCTGGTCCCTCTGGCTCTGGCTCCCCAGGGACAGTCCTGCTGCTGCAGCTCCAGGGTGTGGCCAGGACTGAGGTGACCTTCTGGCCTGCAGAGACTGAGCCAATACCCCTCTCCTTGGCACACGCTGTACCGGCCTCCTACCCCTGCTGCCAAAGCACATCCCAGGCTGCTCCTGGGAACACTGCCTGGCCCTCCTGCCCCGACCACTGCCCGTGCCCTTTGTCACACGGCCCCACTCAGTTTGTTGTGTATCTGACCGCCCCCCTCAGCCACAGTGTGGTTTTCACCTGCTCTCCCTCTTCCTGGGACTCTGGACAGCCGCTCAGCACATGGCCACAGCTTGCCAGGCTGCATGACAGGCTGGGCACACCCCCTGGGAGTCCGTCTGTGAGCCTGGCTCCAGGAACACAGCCAGTCAGGTTTGCTGCACACAGTGGGGATCTGAGTGGGGCTGCTGCCCTCCTCTCGCTCCTACTCAGGGGGTGCAAACCCCCCAACCTCGTGGCAGAGGGTCCCAGGCAGTTGTCCCACCCTGTGGCCGTCCATCTACCAGTTTTACTAATGTCCAGGTCTTCCCCAGAGACATGTCCCCATGTATGTGGATGTGTCACAGATGTGGGTGTGATAATCTGACATTGATCTATTTGGTGAGCCCAGAATTTACTTATTGGTCATGTTTTAAAGGAGTATACGCTGTGCCCTGCAGGCCACAGGTTGGGGTGGGGAACATGGGCCCAGAGGGCACACCAGGGTCGGGCACAGGGATCCCAGTGTGCTGCTTGGGCTTTGGAGGTTCCAGAAGGGCTACCGAGCAGCCACGGCAATGCACACAGGACCACAATGAAGGTGACCCTGAGCAACTGACCAGAGAAGCAGAGTCCTCAAGTAAAAAGACGGGCCCCACTGCAGCTGCTGAGGACACAGGATGGGGGATGCAAGCCAAGTGTCCAGCGGCCCAGGGCAGAGGAGGCACAGACAGGCCCAGGAAGGGAAGGGGCAGCAGGGAGAAGTGGGCAGGGGACAGCACAGTCACCTGGGGGGCCAGGGCGAGGGCCCCAGTGGCGAGGTCACACACAGGCCATGGCTGCTTTAAGAACTGGAGCCACAGTTTCCAAATTTATTGTTTATTATATAGTGCTTGAATCTTCAAGAACATTTTTATTTTTTATTGTTTTTAAAATTTATTTATTTATTCATGAGAGACACAGAGAGAGGCAGAGACACAGGCAGAGGGAGAAGCAGGCTCCACGCAGGGAGCCCGACGTGGGACTCGATCCCGGGTCTCCAGGATCACGCCCTGGGCTGAAGGCAGCGCTAAATCGCTGAGCCACCCGGGCCGCCCAAGAACATTTTTATGTAGAAACTCATCAGAAAAGGAGTGGGAGTTTTTGAGCATAAGCTGGTTCCAGCAGTTCTTGGAGGACTTTACGATCTGGCTGCTCAGCCAGGGGCCCGGGCGTGTTGCAGGGCAGGGGTGCGTGTCTCCCACGTGGGGTTTGCTTCCATCCATCAGGCACTGCTCTGTTTGACACTAACCTCCCGGAGATGCTAACCTCCCGAAGCGGAGCAGAGCCTGTCTCCTACACCCTTCCCCAGACAGGAATGTCAGGCTTAGTGCACCAGGACCTGACTCCTGGGGTTGCCCTGCCTCAGCTGGCCTGGAGTACTGGCACCACCTCCTCCCTCAGGGGCGCCTGGCCCCTGCACTGGGCTGCAGGGGCAGCGGGGGATTGGGGGAGGGTGGCAAGTGGCTCTGCCCATGGATACACCTGGAGACCAAATAATTACATAAACTTTTTCAGAAATCAAAATGTCCAGTAGTATGACAGATACAGTGGAAACCAGTGAGACTCAGTGAAGACTTGCAGTGCTCGATTGGAGTGTCTCCAGTGGCATGTGGCTCCCTAGTCACCACAAGGGAAGACCTCGGACAGCCAGAAGCCTGGTCACACAGTGTTGGATGTGATGCTAACGGCCGTCCCCCTGAGAAGAGCTGGATGGCAGGCAGCCAGCTGAGCTGGCCTTGGGTAGCCAGCCTGCTCAGTAGGTGGTGACTACTGTGTGTGCCCCGGCCTCAGGCAGGAGCGTGGGCTGATCACCGGAGCAAACATGGCCCCTGGGAGGCTGGGAGGGGAGTTAGGCTGCATGGCATAGGGGTGGGGGGTGGTCATGCCGGCGTCTATGGCCTTTCTATGGTCACCTCCCCCTGCCCAGGACCAGTGGCCCCTCCACTTGGTTTTGCTGCTCTTTTTAGACACACGTTCTGGGTACAGAACATTCTGGAAAAGCTTGACTGCAGCTGTGCTGTGACTGCCACTCCCCAGCAGCCTTGGGCAGAGCACTGTGATCTTGCTTCTCTCTGGGTTAGGGGGCTCTAGGTAAAGGGGAATCTGGCTTACTGGCGCCTGGTCTCATGTCACCCTGGTTGCTTGGATAGAACTGCCGGAGGAGATCTCTCTTGTTGATCTTCCCCATCTGGTTCCGCGGGATCTCATCCACCAGCAGGAGCTCCGAAGGCACAGCATACGGGGCCAGGAAGCCCCTGCAGAGACAAGTAGGGTCTGAGTGGCAGGCATACCATGGGACAGGCAGCCTGGCAAGGGGGGCAGATGTCCCATGGGGCCCCGAAGCCCAACCATACTCGTGCCTGCCCCCGGAGGGCATCTCTGCTGCAGAATGCTAACACAGGGAGGATGTGGGCAGAGGACGAGCCCTCCTTGGGGCCAGGCCTCCCAGAGCCGGGAAGAGCAGGCCCCACTCTCAGCTGGCTGTCATGACAGCAGGCCTTGGCCACATGGGTGGAGCAGGCAGGTGGGCAGGGCCAGTGGATGCCTGCAGACCCCTGGGTGCTGTGGCCTTGTGGACTGGTGCTATCCTTCCTGCAGAGCCTTGGGATGAGCAGTGGGAGGGACTGGCCTGTTGGTCTCAGCTGCCCTGCATCCTGTACTCTCAGGAGGGTCCCCCCATTACACGGTGCATTCTCCTGTGAGTGGCCACGTGGTGGGATCTTGTCACCTCCAGGCTCTACTCTGAGAAACTACTCCTTCGGCTGTGGGCTCCGGTTCTCTCCTGAGACCCTGTCTCAGCCATCTACTCCTTGCCCTCCAACAGCTGCACATGGGGGCCACATGCCCCAAGGTAAGGAAAGCACAAGATGCTGCCAGGCAGTGGGGGTCTCAGCCACTGGGGAGGTATCATGGTGAGCTCATGATGTGTGGTAGCAGAGAAGCCCCAAATCTCAGCCTTAGCAGCTGGGTGCTCGTGAATAACACATGATAATTGACTTTGTGGGCAGGGTCCAAGTGCTCACAGGTGCCAAGTATCACCAATACCCCAGTGATGCATGGTTACCTTGGGGTGGTTCGTGCTGAATGCACCAGCTGCAGGCCAGCGGGGAGTTTGGGGTGCAGGTGTGGGCTCATGCGCGAGAGGGTGCCTCCACCTATGGTCCTGGCAGCTGTCCACAAGGGCCCAGAGGACACATGCAGCTGGCTGGACTTTGCTGCAACAAGCTACCAGGACTGTCTAAGTGACTCTCACAGCATGGCAGGCCGCACCCCTGCAGCCCCATCACAGAACATAGCCCTTCCCGCGCCCCAGCCCCATTGCCCAAACCTGGGTACTCCAGTTAGGGCGGCTCTCCCTGCGCCTGCTTCTCTGTCTTCCCTGTTGGTGGGCCAGCATCCAGCTGGTGCCAGGGCCCAGAGAGGGAGGGCAGAGGTAGCTCTGGGTGCCACCCGAGGCACAGCGATCCCTATGATGGATGGCCAGGTGAGCAGGCTGTGGGGCATGGGTTCCCGTCAATCCACAGACAGAACTCGGGAATGAAGGCCACATTAAAGGTGTTTTCAGACAGAGATGCTGCCAAGTCCCCAGGCAGCTGCTGAGGCCCTTGGGCCTGGGGGCCAGGCTGGGACACACATGGCATTTCCTGGTGACTAAACCCTCTCTCAGAGACAATGCTTGAACAGAAACACAGCTGACCCTTAAACAACACTGGCTTGAGTTGCATGAATCCACTCATGTGGATTTTTCAATAGAGAAGAGAACTGAAAATGTGTTTTGTCCCTTTTGTGATTTTCTTCCTCCTTCTGCAGCTTATGTGCCGTGAGGACACAGTACATGCTATACACAACACACAACATACAACACACATGAGGGTCGACTGTTCTCAGTGGGGCTTCTGCTCAACAGTTGGCCTTTTGCAGCTGAGTCTGCTGGAGCATCAATAGTTGTAGGGTGCAGAGCCAGAGTGGCAGAAGTGCTGCTGGTGCATGAAGGGGGGGAAGGACGTCATGGGGGGGGGGCGATAGAGCCGGGCCTTATGAACCCTAACGTAGTAGCCACTTTAGAAGAAAGGAATGAGAGTGGCCCCAGTGGCTTAGCGGTTTGGTGCCACCTTCAGCCTGGGGTGTGATCCTGGAGACCTGGGATCGAGTCCCGCATCGGGCTCCCTGCATGGAGCCTGCTTCTCCCTCCGCCTGTGTCTCTGCCTCTCTCTCTCTCTCTTTGTGTCTCTCACGAATAGATAAATAAAGCCTTTTTTTTTTCCAAAAAAAAAAAAAAAAGGAACGAAAGCCATAAAAGCTAGGAAATGACGTGGAAGTGTTCTGAAGGGCACCTGTGGGCCTGGCATTTCTGAGGACAGCAGGCCTTCACCCCTGAGGACTGAAGGCTCTTCCTGGGAACATGGGCCAGCCCTGGACATGTGCAAAGGGCCACAGCTTAGCAACAGGTTCAACAGGAAATGAGACGCGCATCAAGGCAGACTGGAGTTATTTGTGAACAACAGGCTTCCCCAGGGACACATGCATGAGGACCACGGACATGTTCTCCAGGGAGAAGGTGTGGCAGGCACAAAGCAAGGATGCCCACCACTCCTTCGTGGTCTCATCAGACATCATCACTTGTGGTTCAAGATCACAGAGCCTAGATTCCTTCCAGGTGTGGAAATCCCACATCCCTTTCTGACTTGGAATCTGGGGGGATGGAAGTGGTAGCAGGTGGTCCCAGACCCCGCTCCAGGCCATGCTCACCCTTGCAAGGGGATGTGCAGCCTGAACCCCCTACTCCAGCTTGGGGCACAGAACAGGGAAGAAGGGTCAGGCCCTTCCTGGAGGGTAGAGATGGAGCATGGAATCTCCATAAAGAAAAAAAACGGGAGCACAGAGGAAAATGTTATTTAAAGAAACCTCTAAAAAGACCCCCAAATGGCTGTGGACATGACCTAGAGAGAGAGAGAGTGCATATTCCTCAAGAGCCACATTGGGAGAGGTGGAGCCACACTGGACCTGCTCTCCACAGGCTAAGTGGCCTCCACGTCACCGCCTAGTGACTGCCAGGCTTGAGGACACAGAGGCCTGGATGCCGGCCTCACTGAGGGACAGTCCTGGAGATGGTGGATAGACTGTCTGCCCTGACCTCCTGGGGGGTGGCCCCCCCACCCCAAGCACACACAGTGGCCATGGCCACAAGCCAGACAGGTGTGCACGCATCGAAGGGGGTAATGTGAACATGGGGTATGGGGGCTTCTGGCTGGGGACAGCCATGAGTCATCCTGACACTGGACCTGACCCTCTCTAGTGGAGAGCTTGGCAGAGGGCGACTAGAAGCTTCTCCTTTGTTAAACAGCTCGCTGTAAGCATGATTCTGTAAATCCAGGGGAAGTAAATCGCCCAGCTGTGCTGTCCCCTCATGAAACAAGGGCTCCTGGTGTTGTGAAATCATGTTGGACAAGCCAAAAATATCTCTAGCGCTGAGAAGCAGGAGGCAAGTTGGGAAGGAAGGGGGTGCAGGGAGAGGGCAGAGGAAGGAGAAACCGCTCAGGTTCGAAATAAAGACTGGGGGTATCAGGACAAGCTTCCTTTCTGAACTCGGTGCTACTGCTCTTCTTGCTGCCTATCCCATTGGCCTTTGGTGGGACAGACTGCAGGGTGCTGCAGGCATAGGGGAGGGGGCCTGTGAGTGTCAGCATGCAGAGAAAGCCCCAGAGCCATGGCACATGGCACGAAGCTCTGGGGACGGTCTACGGTAAGGTGAAAGTGAGCCCATGGAATGCAGAGCTGTGGCTCCAGCACCCCAGGCTACATGCAAATCCTTGTCTTGTTCAGCACAGGTGGGTGGGTAGTCTGCCCAGGAGAGGGTGGGAGGGGACGTACCACTCACTACAGCTCGCCAGCTACCATCACGGAGCTTCCCTGCAGCCTCAGGAATGTAACATGTCATCTGGCCTTCCTGGCTCCCCTGCCGTCCCTGCAAGATTCAGGACCCCGCTGCCCACCCCGCCCTCGACCCTGGGACAGTCCATCCCCTGCCTGCCCCTACCTTGCCCACTCTTTGAGCTCTCTGTGGGACAGCGAGTGTCCCTCTTGCAGGGTCACCACTGCGGTGACCCTTTGGCCCCATGTCATGTCTGGAACTCCAATCACAGCTACATCTGTGAACAGAAGAAATGCTATGTTGACTGCTGCCAGCTGGGGAGCATGGGGTCAACATGGGGGTCGTGCAGGGGACACTGTCTTTTGGGTGGAGCCCAGAGTGGGGCTGGCTTTCCCATCTCTGGCCTCCACCCTCCTGCACTGTCCTAGGGCAGGATCACTGGTAGGAGGGCTGGGGATGATAACAAATGGGTCCTGTTGGGGAGCCTCTGCCATCCCCATGGTCCTCACAGCCTGTGACCTGAGGTAGGAGCAGGTCTGGGCAGCACCCACATTTCCCGGACCAGCAACCACCAGTGCATGGGGGCAGCATGAGGACCACCCCCCACCACAGCCCTCCTGAGCAAGCCAGGGCTCCTGAGCATATGGGCTGTGCAGACCAGTGCAACCTGCTCAGGCCTGGACGCTAGCCATGGCGCAGAGGCAGGGCGTATGGACGTGCCAGGGGTGGGGAGGTCCCTAACTGTGCCCCAAGGGTAAGTAACCTGGTCTGGCTCTATCTACAATGAAATACACATGGAAGCATGTTCAGAATGTTTCCAAGACGGCCGGGTCTGGACCCAGCTCGCCATGGGAAGTCCCTGCCATGGGGCTGGGTGCCACGTACCGGTGATGCTGGGGTGTGTCAGCAGGAGCCGCTCCACCTCCAGGGCGCTGATCTTGTAGCCACCACTCTTAATGATGTCTACGGATGTGCGGCCCCGGATCCAGTACATGCCGTCCTTAAACACGGCCGTGTCACCTGAGGAAAGGGGGTCTGGTCACAAAGAGGTGCACTCCAGGGCCCAGCAGGTTTCGAGGGGCACATGCATACTGCGTGCCCATGTCAGGGAGCATAGGTCCCCTACCCCGGGACCCGCGGGGTGATGGAGGTGCATGTGGGGTGTTTCAGGACAAGGGGGCAAGCATGGAACTCAAGGGCTGTGACCTCAGCCTGTGGCCTGACCCCAGACGGCCCTCTGCACACAGCAGTCTCAGAGCAGAGATCAGGGCTTAGAGGCAGGACAGCTAGTGCTGTCAGCACTCAGCAACACTGCTTCCTGCTCTTTCTCAGGCCTGAGCAGAGAGAACAAGAATTTCAGTCTCCTGCCATCCCATCGGGGTGGGGGTCCCAGTCACAGCAGGGTCCCAGTGGAGTCGGGCATCACTGCAACCCGCTTTCACTCGTGGGGTCTCCTGGGCTGCAAGTAATCACCCAGGTCTCTGAAGGAGGAGAACGCCCTCCTGCCCCTCCACACTGACTGCGTGGTTTCCTGCCATGCTTCCCTCACATGTCAGGCCCCCGGAGGTCCACCTGGTCCTCTCTCGGGCAGCACTGGGCCACGTGATGCTCACCAGGCATCCTAGCATAGGCAGGTGGCAGGGTGGGGGACAGTGAGTGCCAGACCAGAACAGGGAGGGTGCAGGGGAGGCGGGCCCAAGTATGTGTGTGGATGCATGTCCATATGTGTGGCATGTGTGAGTGCTCCCATGTGGCACACACGTGTGAGCGTGTGCCTGTGGGGATGCCCCTACCCAGCCCTCTGGGAACAGCACTGGTGCCTCCCTGCCTACGCTCACACACCCTGAGACCTATGCTGGGTCATTAGCTGGAATAAATCATCAATGTTTCATGACGAGTCACGCCTCCCACGCAGGAAGGCACCATCCATCATCTGCTGCCGCCCGACCTGCTGCGGCCTAGGGCATGATCCGGTCTACTGAACACGACAGATGCTGGTGCAGGGATGGGTGACTGGCTTACATATGGCGGCGCGGGAAGGCCAGGCTCCAAGAGCACAGGGCCAGGAGTGTGGTGGGTTCTCTCCCACTGACAGAGGCACTGCAAGTGTACCTTTGGAAACGGTGACTGGGTGGCGGCTGGCTGGTGGGAAGGGACGTGGGTGTGGCTGCGGGGATGACTGGGGTGGACACACCTGACCTGGGTCCTGCAAACCCACTGAGTCCCCTATTTCTGGGGTGCAGGCCCAGCTTTGGCTGGACAGCTGTGTGTTCCCCCAAGAGCTTCCTGACCCCCAGCTACCTATTCCCTAAATGTACTAATGGGCGTCTGAGAAGGTGCTGGCAGGCTGTGTAGGCTCCGTGTGGCCAGGTGGTGTCCTGCCATTCATGGCAGGAAGAAACACTAATGTGCCTCCAGGAAGCAGGTGGCACGATGACAGCACCTACCCGCCTGGCATGCTCATGCTTGGTGGAGGCTGAGATACTCTGTGGTGAGCTCCCCATCCCTGTGCTCCCATGGGGAGCCCAAGGCCTCGCTCTGGTGCCACGTGACGCACCTCAGGCCCCGCCTCACCTTGGACACCAAGCAGCAGCTCTGCGGCTGTGTCCGGCCCTGCCTCCAGGGAGATGCGGGCTGAGCCTGGTCAGGTGCACACAAGGGCCCTGTGTTCAGGCACTGATACCTGACATGTGCCAGCTCATGCCTGCTCTGCACCACGGGCTGCACCTCCTCCAGAGGAGATCCTTCCATGCTTTCCTTGAGTGTCTGCCTCCCGCAGGGTTAGGTGTAGAGCTAGAGGCCTCGCCAGGGATGCAGATTCAAAGAATTATGCTGAGGAGAAAAGGCCGGTCTTCAGAGGTGGCACCTGTAGGGTCTGTGTCTCTTCCCTGAACACGTGACAGGGCGGCTGGGTGAGGGGTGGGGGTAGATGGGAACAGACAGGCTGCACAGCAGACACGAGGGCAGTGAGCAGAGGACACACATGCATGTGCACACACGTGTGTAGGGCTGGCGGGCCTTGGAAAGCCCAGGGACAGGCCCTGCTGTCACACTGGTGATGAGGATGTGGACATGGGGATGGGGAGAAGGTGTAAGTGGCCACCCTGCACGCCACCTGCATCTTCCCATGAATCTGTACCCATCTCAAATAGAGAGGGTTAAGAAACCGCTATTTGCTTTGTGGAGAAGTTCCCAGCCGACCCTGGGACTCACCCCCAAATTATGTCCCATGTCTGCAACTTGCTGTGATCAAGCAATCACTTATTAGGTAAAGAATTGGTATTAACTAAGCTCCCGACTGAGAGGCAAGCACAGGAAACTGCTCACTGTGATACTAATGAATGTGTCCAACGAAGTCATCTGTCCCTTAGGTATCAGCATCCTCCCTGCTGGGAAAGACCTGTTCTGCTCTCGGGGGTGGGGGCTGCCCAGGGTTGGGGCGGGTGCACAAGGGGGCTGCACAGGGGGTGTGCACTGGGCGGGCAGGGAAGCAGCTGAGAACTCAGCCATCCTTTCTGTGCCTGGCACCTGTTAGACACTGTTGGCCTCCAGCACGGGCTATTCCTGGCATCACCCCAAGCTGGGGCTGGAGTGGGGGGACTTCTTCCCACCTGCCCTTCCTGCTCTCAGCCCCCAGGTGCCGGCCAGGCTCTGGAGGGAAGACAATCAGCTGAAAGGCTCCCACAATCACAGGACGTGGTGTCCAGAGTGTGAGCATGAGGAAGGAAGTCAAGTCAGAGCACCCAAGGCACTCGACTTGTCGGATGTTAGGAATCTGGGATGGAGAAGATTCTCTGGGACTCCAAAGAGGGGGAAGGTCATACAGTGCCTAGCAGGAAGCGGCTGTAGCCCACAGCAAGCATGGTAAGCTAGAAACCAATAAATATGATCTCTAACCCTGAACTCTATCTGGCCTGCCCTAGTGAAGACACTGTTAGACACCCCTCCCCCCAAAAACACACAGCTGACACTGCACCGCCAGGAGGCTCACTCCTGGAGAACGCAGCTCTCCCAACTACAGAGCAGCAGGGAAGGAGGAAGCTGTGAGACACAGGGGGGCCTATGTAGGGCAGCAGGCCCCAGAGTCCCCCCCAAGCAGGCATGGTGGCACCGGGGCGCCTCACTCAGGGAGCGAGAGGACAAAAGGACCAGGGTCCCCATGAGGCTCAAGCGAGTGCTGTATCCACTGCCTCATGGAACAGACAGTGCTGCAGCCACTGAATGTGCTGCTTCCAGGGGGAGGACAGGTATAGAGATGGAATCAGCTCAGGTGCAAATGGCTACTGTTCTCACACTGGTAAAGCTAGTGGAGTCTTCAAGCCATCTGTGTATAACTGTGATAAAAACTGAAAACTTACAGACACTCATCCTCTGCCCAAGGTCTGGACTGACTAGTGGCCCCAGAAGCCAGCCCGCGTGCAGCAGGTGCTCAACATTCAACAGAGGAGACAGAAGACGGTCTCATGTCGCCACTGGGTCACTGTGTCATGGTTCACGAAAACATATTCCAGGGGGTCTGGGACTTAACTTTATGAATGCAAAGCCTGGCAAGCGGCAGAAGAGACACAGGAGAGCACCCCTGTGAACCCTGGGGAACAAAGGATTCTTAAGCAAGATAAAAAAATAAAAGACACAACACATCCAAACTTTCTATGTACAGAAGGAGTCGCCAACACAGGGCTTGGGCCGGTTGCAGACTGCATGGCTGGTCCACCCAGCATCCCAGAGGGGCTCTGTCGTCTGGCATAGCCTTCATGGTGACCCTGCCTCCCTCTCAGTGAAATGCACAGGTCAGAGGCAGCCATCCCTTCCACGTGCCCATACCCGCTAACATGCAGCACTTGGCCTAGCTCCTAACTGGGACTTACAGGTCAAGATGGAAGATCTCCTTGTTGGAGAGGTAACCCAGAACTCCCAACAGTGGCAAGGCAGGAGATGAGCAGATCAGATTGTGCCTAAGTGACATTCTGATGCCTTCTCCATTGGAGAGGTGTGAAATGTGAGCATAGCGTGTACCAAGTGTGTCCCTGAGAGCAGTGAAGCTCAGCGAGGGAGCACTGGAGACCAGAGATACAAGGATGGAAGGAGCCCTCCTGTAAGTGATGGTGGCCAGCAGCCATGCTTGGCTCACAGGAGCCCAGCGGGTGACAGACGCGCAGATGCCCACACCCAACACACAAGTCATCAGGTCATGTCATTGCTCTTCAGAGCACAAGGTCTAAAGGCCTCCTGACACCCACTGATGGACGCATCTGAACACAGCTTCTAGCCTTGTGTTTTAGAAATAATGCCGCCGCAGATGCCTGTGCACCTGGCTCTGCCTGCTTCTCGTCACCCTTGATGAACAGGTTCCCAGAAACACTCTGGACACAGTGTCACCTGTTGGAGGGAAAGCACCTGCCTCACGGCAGCGAGGCCCAGCTTTGTCAGAATTTCACATTTGGTGACAGGAGTCAGTGACTGTTTCTGCATTTCTCTTGTTCATCACGAGGAAGTGAGACGGTATCTTGTATATTTTTAGGCCCAGAGCTCTGCTCTTCTGTGATGTGCCCATCATCTGCGCCCATTCCCCTTAGGGCGGCCTGGGCTCTGTGAGCAGTCGTTTGGAGGTGTGGCTCTGGAGAGCAGCCCCACATGGGTGCCGAGGCCCGTGAGGGCTCCGCTGTCACTCTGCTGGTGCTGTGATGTCTGTCTCCAGGAATAACGTCATGTCTGCCATGGAGGGAGGCAAGAACCCGCTGATGTTCTGGTGGATTTTCCCAGAACCCTGAACTATCTTTGACTGACATGCTGATGTGGAAGTGATGCGCTGTTTACTAGGTCACTTAACACTAAACAGTGCATGGTGAAGTATTTTTACAGTAAGTCAGAGAGGCTGTTTGTTTCCTAGGCTCAGTTAGCAGTGTCTCCAACACAGATCTGCTTAGCAGGAAGCGTCAAAGGTAGTAGGAACTGTGACATCTGCTCAGCTCTGTCCCCATGTCCATCCTATGTCCTCAGCTCTGTCCTGTGTCTTCATCTCCATCCCATGTCCTCATCTCCATCCCGTGTCACCTCCATGTCCTCATCCCTGTCCCATGTCCTCATCTCCATTCCATGCCCTCATCTCCATCCTATGTCATCTCCAAGTCTTTGTCCCTGTCCCATGTCCTCATCTCCATCCTGTGTCACCTCCATGTCCACGTCCTCATCCCATGTCACCTCTGTGTCGTCACCTTTGTGTCCTCTGCTTCACCATAAAGGCCTGAGGATGCCTGGCTCCTGGAATCAGCTGTCCCCCTACCCTGGGCTAGCACTGGTGCCGTGTGCATGTCCAATAGCTTCTCTCTGGCTGTGGTGGTGCTCAAGTGAACAAAAGTTGGGAGGAGTCACCATGGCTGTCAGCAGAGTTTCTCAGGGGAGACCTTGGGTCTCCTCTGTAGGGGGAGGCCACGATGCCTGAGGGCTTGCTGAGAGCCCCCTGCATATCTGGGGAAGGAGGTGGACATGGGCGACTGGGGGGCAGTAGGACTGGCTGGTGATCTCTCCCCTCATCCAGACATGGACTCAGCCCTTCCTCATGGCTCACCAGCAGTGGCTCTCTAGCTCCTGCCAGAATTCTGTGGCAGGAGGGGCTGGCCAGGGAAAGGGTTAAGTTTAATTTATCCTGATTTCTATTTAATATCATGCTCTCCCCGCAGGAGCCAGCAGCTGCGAGCTGATTGCACCCGCTCATTATGCAGCCTGTATCACTAATGGCCTGTGACAAAGGCACACGGCTTCCAGGCCTCACCCCCGAGAGCCAATTAAACACACACACTCCCTTCCTGTTTGCAGCGCATTACAATGAAATTAAACTGAGTTTCAAAATCACTTTCTCCTAAAGACATCTCTTTATAATAATTAATGCATGCTATTCCTTTTCAACTCAAATATTCATCAGCAGCAGTGGCTGAACGTTTTAACGCTGACTGCCCCACATTTTGCATTGCCGCTGCCTGGCGCTCAGGGAGCTGCTACCCACAAAATCCACAGGGCTTGGGTTCCTGTGCTTTTAAAGAAAAATAAAAAACCCTGAAGCTTTTATCTGAATTTAAAAATAAAAGAAGATGGCCACAAAGCAAGTCAGGTTTCCACACTGGGACCACACAGAAGAGGGATATACACAGAAGCAAGGTTAGCTCAAACACCTCACGTGAAGGACAGTGATGGGGAGAGGTCTGCTGCTCTCGGGCTGGCTTGTGTGAATGCAATGCTCACAAAGAGAATCCAGGCAGTCTGAGTTACGGAACTAGGAGGCCCTGGAACAGGTGACCGGGGCTCCTGGGACTCGACCACTGAGTCCTCTGCTCACCTGTCAGGGCTCTCGACCAGGTTCTCACTGTCTTGCTCTGAAGCCTGAGAGATGTCCCCTCTCCAAACCCTCATAACCACCCATGCTTGCTTCCTCTGCTCCTCAGGCAGGGACAGGGGAGGCTGGACACCTCCAACCCAGCTGCCAGGACATGAGGTTTGCAGGCATGAGGGAGAAGCATAGACAGCTGCAGGACTTACAGTGTGGACATGGGACTGGCTGGGACCAGCAAATCTGGACCCATGTGCTGCCTAACAGTGGGACAAGAAGGGGGCCCCCCGACACGTACCTCCTCAGGAAGACTCTCTGTCTGCCCCTTCATGCCAAGCCCTCACCCGACAGGTCCACATGGCACCCCGAGACTGCCGGGGTCTATGCGGGTCCCCACTCTACCACTCGGTGACCTCAGGTCTAACAGCAGCAGATCAGAGGACATGCCATCCTGCCCCACACAGAGCCATGCTGACCTGAGCCCAGGGAGGTGCCTGAGCGAATGCCAGGCATGAGCTGCACATGCTGTGTGGCCACCATCCTTCTCCTAAGGGCACATGGTAGCCCCGTGGTTTCCGCTTTGCCCATTTGCTGCCTTTTTCTTCACCTCTGCTTCCCACAGAACAGGAGATGAGGCAGATTTGTGATTATGGGGTGATGTGTGAAAACAGGCCTTCCCACAGAACAGGAGATGAGGCAGATTTGTGATTATGGGGTGATGTGTGAAAACAGGCCTTTCTTTTTGGAAAACATTGTCTTAAGACTATTATGAAATGATGCATTGTCGCAGAGAAGTTTTAGACATACAGATGGGCAGAAAGAAGAGGAGGAACCACCTGGAACTCAGAACCCAACCACCTATAGGCCAGGGCTGCTGTTCTGGGATACCAGTGAATCTATATGTTGCAAACCTAATATTCACAGTGTCTGCTATAAAGTCCACATTTCAGGACCACTGTGGCCAAGTGAGGCATGCAGGGGGATCCTAGGCAGGCTCTGCGTCCTGCGGGGATGGTGCCAACTGCACACCAAGGCAGGGCCCAGGCATAGCATGGAGAATATGAAATGACCCAAATGGAAAAGGAACCCCAGAACAACTTGGATCCTGGCGAGGGAAGAAGACTTCTAAAGCAGGGGCCTCAGGGTGAGGCAAGGAGGGTCTGACATCCAGGGGCTCCAGACCCATGATGGGTGAGACAGAGTACACCCCCTATTTCTGTCCTGGACAGAAGATTCTGGGGTGTCCAGGCCCCCCTCCTACCTGTCTTGAACCAGCCATCCCAGGTGAAGGCTTGTCTCGTCTCTTCTGGTTTGTCCCAGTATTCTCGGAACACAGATGGTCCCCTGACCAAGAGCTCCCCTTCCTTTTCCTTGAACCCTGGGGTCACCTGTCAGCAAGGGAGAGAGCACACACCTCTCAAGATGGGGGCTTCATTTGCCTTTTTCGTGACCCCTCCCCCAGTTGATCATACTCGCTTCTGAAATTAGACACTTTGTTGGAAATGATTGAAAAATGCATCTTTCAACATTGGAACTCCATCAGACGACACGGTGCAGTGCTGGCCCACTAGGGTGGGGAGCTGTGTCACCACATTCATCCTAAAAAGCCCCGTGCTCTAGACTCGAAGACATGAGTCACTGACCCATGTCATAATCGGGGCGTGGCAGGGTTCAAGGTTCAAGCTGCCCGTCCTCTTCTAAAACTGTGCTCCTGACACTCCATGAAACTCCGTATTCAGGGTGTTCCTGCACAAACCATGGCACACAGGAGCCTCAGGGAGGCATGGGCAGCCACCACACCCACCGGGGCTGTAGCAGCTGGGCTTCGGAGGCTCCCGTGGGGCCTTCTGGAGTCGGTCTCTTTCCTTGGTGAGGAGGAGGTGGAGCACAACTGAGAGGATGGCTCTGTGGGTAAGCCCCAGGTACCCAGGACACAGTGGCACCCAGATTATGTGGTCCCGGGAAGCAGGGGATTCATCTCTCGTGGTGACCACAGTACAGGGCGGGAGGGAGGCTGGGTTTTATAAGAACCTGAGTAGGGCTTCAGTGAAGTCAGAAAAACAATGTGTAGAGGCCCGTGCATGTCAGGCCCTGTGTGAAACCATCACTGGACAGAGCAAAGGTGAGTGAAAGGGGCCAGGGATGCTCTGTTCTTACTCATCAACTCCCACCTGGAATGAACTCATTCTGGGGAAGAACCAGCCCCCTCTATTTAAAAAAAAAATAAAAATCAGAGACCCCCCCCCCTTTTTTAGAGACCCTTTTAAAGAGGCTGTAAAACCATCTCATTTGTCTGAGGCCTGGACACAATCCACATTTCCAAGGCCGATGCGGCAGGCAGGCAGCCAGAGCCTGTCCCGCATCAGCAGCTCCCCTCTGACTCTGTAGCCCACTTCCTACTGACACAGGTGCCCCTGCCCTAAGGGGACTGGGCTCCACATTTGGGGCCCAGCCGGGCACCCGTCAACCAGCCTGCTTAGAAGAGGTCTGTGTTTGTTTTCCCGCCAAACCACACACTTCATTTGAACCCCACCCATCTTCCCACCTCTGCCCTTTATCTGATTCCACTGCTCAGGTCAGAGTGGTCATAGGACAGCAAACCTGTGGGGTAAAGGCCTTGAAACAAGTGTGCATGGCTGCCAACCCCAAGAAGGCAGGCTGAAACCTGTGGGCTGAAGCCAATGGGGTGAAATAAAACAACACAGAAGTCAGCCTCCTCCAACGGACAGAAATGAGATCCAGAGTCTTACAATGTAATATTGAAATTTCCTGGACACAAGATTACTCAGCATGTGAAGAGCCATCAAAATGTCAACTCTTAACAAAAAAAGGCCATCGGTGCAGGACAATGCAGGGTGGCACCGATGTTTAGGCATACCTGACAAAGAATTTAAACCACATACTACAAATGTGCTCCAAAAGGAAGACCAAACACCCAAGAAGTAAATGAAAAATTGAAAGTCTCAGGAGAGAAATAAAAGTTATAAAGCAAAATCAAATGGAAATTTTAGAACTGAAAAATACAATGACAGAAGTAGGAAACATTCCCGGGATTGACTTCATAGCAGAAGGTCACAAAGCAGAGTCCTGAACTGGAAGATCGGTCAATAGGATTTGCCCTCCTAACTCGAGCAACAGGAAAACATGCTCACTCGTCCTCCTCACTACCATGCACACCAACATTGCTGCTGCCAGATTCCCAGCAGAGGAGATGCCAGGAGCAGCGAGAAACTGGATAAAATTTGGCTGAAAACTCTCAAGTATGGTGAAATACATAAACCTATAGATTCAAGAAGCTCCAGGAACACCCCCAAAAGGGCAAACCCAAAGAAACACAGGCTCATCATAAACACAGACACATCATAAGCCAATCACTGAAGACTAAGGATAAAGGAAAAGTCTGGCAGTGGCCAGAGAGGAGCCATGCTTCTGACAACGCCTGCCTTTTGGGCAGAAACCATACAGGCCAGAGAAGGGGGACCCACTTCCAAGCCTCAGCCCCAAATCCCATATCCAGTGAAAGTAATGCTCAGGTTTGGAAGAAAAGACAAAGATGCTCTTAGATAAACTGAAAACAAGAGAACTTGTGGCTAGCAGATCTGATCTGAAAGAATTACCAGAGAATGTTCTTCAGACAGAATGGAAATGATTCCAGGGGGAAATATGGAAACTCAGAAGTGATATAAAAGCAAACGAATCAGTAAATACCTGGGTGAACAAAACTGACCATTTTGTTCCTCATGAGTTCTTTAAAACCATCCTGAAGGCTGAAAGCAAACACTGTAGCACTGTCTGATGGAGTTTATAACACATGCAGACGTTACACACAATGCTAAATGGGGAAAAGGCAAAGTGACCATACGGTGGCGACAAAGACTCTTTGCCTGACCAGACTGCAGTCAGGCTCCTGAACCTTCTCCTAGGCCCATCTGTGCCCTTCCTGTGAAATCCAGTTCTAGCAAGAACTCTGCTCTATTCCTTTAGCAAGAGACCCCCATCCTGATACCTGGTCACCCTCAAATGTGCTACCACCCCCAAGTGACATCTGATCACCCTGGCATGTCCTCACCAGAGATCTGGGCAGGTAGTTTAGCCAGATTCACAACCTGCCCCCCTGTGTTTCCCTCAGCAAGTCTATCCACAGACCCCAGTGGCTACATGTAGGACATTTCCCCTGGCCCACACTGCATTCAGAGCTAAGCCCAACTCTCGCCTGTACTGTAAAACCCCACGGCACTGGGCCCTCACTCACCCCAATGCTCCTGAATAAAGTCTGCCTCGCCATCTTTAACAAGCGTTACTGAATGTTTTTCTCTTTGACTGGAGGAATTCCATGTTCTTCTGGGAGTGTTAAGTGCTGAGTCTAAGTAGGTTTCAAAAAGTGAAGTGTATTTATTGTAGTCCTTAGAACTACTAAAAACCTGTACAAAAGCATATGTTCAAAAACTCATCAGGTAAATTAAAATGGAATGCTAAAAATAAGTCCAAAGAGGGACGAGACACCAAGGGAACAACAGTGAGCAGATAACAAATGGCGGCAGGCGTACGTTCAAGTGTTTCAATAATTAAGTCAAGTGTAAACGCTCTAAACACACCAATTAAAAGATTGCCAGACTGGATTGAAAAACCATATATGATTCGACCATCTACTCTCTTTAAGAAACTCACTTCTGGTACGGTTACACAGGCAGGTTAGAAGCAAGGGGATGGGACCCTACACACCATGAAACACCCTCCAAACAAACTACGTTGACTCTGGAATATTAATGCCAGACCAAACAAACTTAACAGCAAAGATCATTACCAGCAGGTCTGCCTGACGACAGAATGGTCAAGTCACTGAAAAACTGTAACAATTAAAAATGTGTATTCCCCAAGTAACAGACTTTCAAAATATATCAGCAAAAACCCAAAAGCAGAAACAGACAATTACAATGGAGGAGACACACCCCTCCTCTGTGACAGAACTGGTTACTTGGCATGGATGTGCGGCACAGAGCACCACCAACCACGTGCCCCGGACCGCCATTTGCACAGCATCCCAAACCAGCAGAATGCATGTTCACCAAGAAGGCCGCATTCCGGGGTGCACACATGCCTTCACAAAACAACTGGAATTGTACCCAGTATGCTCTCTGATTATAACAGAACAAAACTAAAAATGAGTAACAGGAAGATAACTCTCCAAACACTTGGAAAATAAAGACACTTCTAAAAAATCCATGAAAAAAATTAAAAAAAAATAAAAAATTCGTGAGTCGGGGCAGCCCTGGTGGCGCAGAGGTTTGGTGCAGCCTGCAGCCTGGGCTGTGATCCTGGAGACCCGGGATCGAGTCCCACATCGGGCTCCCTGCATGGAGCCTGCTTCTTCCTCTGTCTGTGTCTCTGCCTCTCTCTCTGTGTCTATGAAGAAATAAATAAAATCTTTAAAAAAAATCCATGAGTCAAATAAGTCTTAAGGAAAATAAGAAAATCAGAAAATATTTTGAATTGAATGAAAATGAAAACATATCAAAATTTGCAGGGAGAGGGCAAGCGCCTGGGTGCTGCAAGGAGATCTGTGCTGGTAAATGCATGAATTGGAAAAAGGAAAAGTAAAGAGAAAACCCCAGGAATCCAAAAACAAGTTCTTTGAAGAAGGTTCAATAAAAGGATAATCTTGTAGCAAGAACAACAAAGGAAAAAGCAGAAGTCTCAAACTATCCACAAGAGGAATGAGAAGGGCATTACCTCAGATTATACAGACACAAAAAGATGAATAAAGGGACATTGTGAGAAATCCTACGTGCATCAATTCAACAACTTAAAGGGACCAATTCCTCAAAAACCGCAATCTACCAAAATTCACCCAAGATGCATTAGATGATCCGAATAGTCCTATAACCATTAAAGAAAATGAGTTAATAGTTGAAATCTTCCAAAAAAGAAGCCTCTAGGCCCAGATAGTTTCACTGGTAAATTCTATCCAACATCTCAATAAGTATATGATACCAATTATATGTAGCTTCCTCCAGAAAGCAGGAGAGGAGGGCATAATCCCCAACTCATTTGATGATGCTAGCATTACCTTGACACCCAAACAAGACAAAAAAGCACAACAAAAGGAAACCTTGATGTAAACGTCCTCAGCAAAAGGCTAGCAGATCCAATCTAGCACAATATAAAATAAACAATACGCCACAAGTGAGTGCGGTTTGTCTTAGGAGCACAAGGCTGATTCAACACTAGGAAATCCACCAATGTGATCCACTATATTAGCAGCCTAGTAAAAAGCAGTTGATGTAAAAAAAAAAAAAAAAAAAAAAAAAGCACTTGAAAATATTTTATCCAGGGGTGCCCAGGTGGCTCAGTGGGTTAAGCATCCAGCTCTTGGTTTTGGCTCAGGTTA